GAGATAGTCTGGATATTCTCAGTAATCCTGGCGAAGGTAAACTTACGTTGCTCCTTCCCCCATATTGAGTGTGATTAGGAGCATATTCTGCACGCTTATATCACACCTACCGACTCAGGGGACGATACTGTAAGGTATGCGGTCACTGAAGTCGCCGACGATAATAAAGTTGTCTGCCCTCAACACTGGTCACGTGGATTGGGAGCCTCATGGTTATGAGCCGACAAGAAGAAGACTCGATCGCTGGACAATATGTTTATTCGCCTGACGTTTCGTCATCAGTCGCGGATTCATCATCAGAGACATGAGTAGCAGAAACAGCCGACTTATGACCTATGAGCCGACAGTTATTTCCCTGCCTCATGATGTAATTCTCAATGACGAAGTTTAATCGAAAGTTTCGTGGCTCCGTCTCTTGATGTCCGCTCCGTGGTGAACTAGGTATATGACGATACGCAAACTTGCGCATCCGATCTTTTCGTTGATTCGCTACTTCATCGAGAATTGTTCCTCTGTGTATGCATGCTGCTTTTAATATTATTTTACTGTAGATTGGTCTTGATTTTACTCAATTTCCTTTCCTATTGTGTACTTTATTGTTTGGATTTGAATATTTTAGGCTTTTTCTTTGGCTAATTCGTTTAGGTTACTTTTTATTATTTTTTTCATTGTAGGTTGATTGATATTCCTGTTTTTTGTTATTCTTTTATTTACCGGGCGTGGTAGGACTTTTTTGCGAAGGCGCGTCTGTCTTTTGTGTCGCGCGCGACAAAAAAGAGAAAATCGATGGAAAGTCAGGCTACTAAAAATGTGGTTTTATTAGTATTAGCGGTTCGAAAATTGCTTCTTTATTAAATAAATAAAACTATAAACCAGGAAATAGTGAGAAAAAGTGTCGGGGGTTTTAAATTAGTATATCGGTTCCATTTCATGCAAATATATGTTTGGGTGTTTCCCCATTCATTTAAATGATATTACATAGTAGGAAGAACAATATTATATCAATCAACAACTTTTCTCAATGAATACATGAATAAATAAAATAATATCAATCAATCTACAATGGTATTGTAATAAAAAGTAACGTAGACGAATTAGCCAATCACCGCACAGAACAGATGCGTAAGATTGCGCATCCGCATATCTCGTCTGCTCCCGGCGACTGTGCACCCACTTCATGCAGCGGCCCTACTTCAAGGAAGCAAGTTTTGCTGAAATGCCCGCCTTATAGCGAGTCGGCTGTTTAATGACAAACAAAACAGTCCTAGCCTCCAATCAGGTGGTCATTAGCCTGCAAAAAAGGGGGACGCAAGAATTGCGAGAGTGAGGACGGGCACTCTGGGAGGACGGGGTCTGTCGTCGATTCATCTGTGGTTTTAACTTCAATAAGCCAGCATCCGTTTGGTCTACGCGAACCTTATTTGTCCAATAAGTCGCGCATGCTCTATCTATTACGGCTACTGAGTAATTCCAGAAATGAACTACAAGTGCTGTCCACAGGATAACTGCGGCTTCTCCCTTAGGACTGGAGCATGCTAAGCTCGGAGCGCCTAGGACGACGAATAGCGAATGGCATACTGGGTGTGAGGAAAGACTGCGAAGAGAGATGAGGATAGCGGGTAGCTTCATACACGCTATTTAGGGCTGATCCTGACTATATTCATTCCACCAGCCGTAATCCTGACTATCAACCGGAACTGGAGCGACAAACGTACGCAGCTGGTCCATAAACGGGGTCTGTAGCCGACGCCCAACATCGTTGTGTCCGGCGCCACTGTCTAAAGGTCAGCCGCTTTCGGACGCGCTGACTTGTAGGTACTTGACCGACTTCCACTCGGACGCACAGACAGAGGTGTGTCCAGGTAGTCATGGCTAACCCAAGCGCACATGAACACACCCCTTTCCCCAACCCTCAGCCGATACAGCATACACTACCGGATACGACACCACTCGGGTGATACCACACGAACCACCGGTTGGAGAACACTTGAACCTGCTGCGCAATCCTACTGAAACAACTGCCACCACCGTCTCCCTCGCCTTCTTCCTCCTCTCTCTCGGACATGACTTGACGCAGTCAACACTAGCCCTGGCTTCGCCAATGGTCACTGTCACATGAGACAACAACTGGAAGATCTATATAAAAACAAATCTCTCCTGCATGTGCCTATAGTGTTTCTGCAGCCCGACGCCCTCCTTACTAATGACTCAGAGAATAGGACCTCGCGCGATGGCAGTTCTCGGCAATTCTTTGACCTAAATGCGTCCAATGAGATTCCTGCGTTAGTAGACTAGCCTCGTTTGGGAGGTTGGCTTTAATCCGTCTGGACACAGATCTCAATGCGGTGTCTGCCCCCAGACATCACTTCGGACCTATCCTCCCTCGCGGTTAGACGTGCGCTCCGACAGTCAAAACCTCCTCCTAACTATTTTCCTGTGCTTCTGTACAGAATAAACTCTTACTACCGCTCTGGCCTTCCCAAGACGTCTCACCTCTCCTATGGAACTGGGTCTGGAAGATCGCAGCCGCTAGGGTTAACTCTAATAGCCTTAACACCCCTCGATATGCCCTGCAACATGGGATTTGATCTGATTCTTGTACTGGACTGAGCACAAACACTGCGTTGACGCTAGAAGATGTGTCACACGCATTCTCGATCGTCTCCCCATCGGCTGTCGTGACGTTGGCCTGGTAGTTGGTCGCCTGTTCGTAAACTATGCCTCTGGGAGCTAATAGCTCGGCGTACGCCCATTCCTAACCCTCTTTTTCTTTGAACTGCCACCCACGAGCATTTGCCGGGATCTGACCACCGGGCTGAGTGCGTATCGAAGAATTAAGGTTAATACGGTTAAACCTTGTCACTTCGATCTTCCAGGCCCGGTTCCTGAGGGGAAGAAGTAAAGCTGGGAAGCCAGAGTGGTAGGAAGAATTTATTCTGTACAGAAGGGATGAAGAGTAGGTAGGAGTAAATTTTACTGTCGGACCGCACATCTGGCCATGAGAGGGGCTAGATTCGAAGTGACGAGAGCGTAAGGCATTGCCGGGAATCCAGAGTATGCTTTGTTCCCGCACCCAATCAAGGAATGGGTCACACTGATTAGTGCGAGTTCTCATGTGGGTAGATCAGGACCATTAAGGCTGCAGCCGGACCAAGAGACGAGAAGGTTGGCGCACAAAGCTCGCAGGTCGAGGTGCGATGAGTCAGCGTGGCGGACGGTCACGTGCGGGTCGGCAGCCGCAG